TTTAGAGATATACGTCAATAGGCATATTTTTTTGCTGTGAAGAGCGCTTACTGTTTATGGTTTTGATCATAGATTTTTCTATCACCGTTCAGGTCTAAGTAAATGATTTTCAGCATTTCTTTGGCCATGAAACGTGATTTATCAGGGGTCTAGGGGCAAACTCTATTTATTGCTCCTTAAAAACAACAACAACCAAAAAAAAAAACGCTAGCCATAGGTCACAGCAGTACCATCGACAGTATATACATGCAACTAGGCCTAACCTTTGTAGAAAAGTTAGGCTAAGAAATGTGGTACGTGGTGACGAGAGGTAGTGGCAATGATATATATTCTAGTCACTGTGGAACAATTTTAATAAAAATGATGTGCTCGAGCGCAACTTGATGTTGATGACTAAAGATTCCAGGCCTCTTTTACTGCTTTCTCAAGTTAGGCCTTTTGTTATATAATATCAAAAGCAAAATACAAAAAAAATGAGGTAGGTGAGTTTCACCCTTAGATCTCTGTTACTACTTCGTTCGTCATGTCAGCTGTTAATTATTTAATATTGTTAAATTAGTCTAATAAGTTACAAAGTCTTGAAATAATGAATATATGAAACAGACTTATACTTATTAGTAATTTAATGTTTCTTGAAAATTAACCTGGGGCAATTTTCCCGGTCTTCTGTGGACATTCGTAAATGCCGTGATGTGTTCCCCCGAACGATGCTGAGTAGATAACGATTCGTCGAGATTTCTCACACTCAATTTGAAGTCTCTCATGCTCGCACACAATTTTGTTGATAAAAGAACCTAAACATTAAAAAAAATCGAGACACATACCCAAACTCCATTAGTCTCAGTTTAGAAAATAAGGCTTTTCGAAAAAAACACTCAACCATTATTAATCCTAACTTAAAAAATTGAAGACTTTTTCGGGACACACACAAACACATTCACTCAAACGTCGTTAATCTCAAGCTAAAAATACGATTTTTTTAAACATCCACTTAAACCTTATTGTTTCCAGACGAATTATTAAAACTTTTGGGCAAATATATTTTAGTTCTTAAGATTAAAAGTAGCCTATTTTAATTTCAAAGAAAAACATTTACTACATTCGTTGCCTATCCCTGAAAAATGGTTGAATAATAAATGCAAGTGCCTTTGTTTAACATCTGATCAGACAAAGTCACAAGTGTTCCACTATGAATGCTTCGTGGACAATTTGTCTGACAAAAAAAATAAAAAAAAAGATTATCAACTAACAAATCAGAAATCGTTCAATGTGAAGGTGTTCATATTTTCGTAAACTTTGGCAATTTTTTTTTTTGTTTTTGTAATGACGAGGTTGAAATACAAACTGCCAGGATTTTTTTATGTCTTGATTTAAAAAAAAGTTAGAAATAAGGATTTTTTGAG